ATTTCCAGAAAATGGTCTTCCTCATTTGGAAGAGCAAAATTCAATCCTCTTTCCAATAAAGTACTAACTAAACTATCCTTCAGAGCCGTACTAGATAAATTGATTACCTTATCCTTCCCAACTTTGCTAAAACCATGGTTAGTACGAGTTACCTTAGGCGCAAAGTTTCTTGACCTAATTCTAATTCTTAAATTCCGGAGCTTCTTATCATGTATCCGACGAGTAGTTCTGTCAATCGACTCTCCTAACCCGTCAGCCATGTCTTGTAACATAATGAAATCCACATCATTCAATAGTTCAGAGAGGGATTGCCTAAGCCTAGTTTTGGTTTGCTTATGCTTTCCTTAAGCCTAGTTTTAACCAAACCACAAGATACCTGATCAAGTTCTCTATCTGTCGATGTCGGTATATTAAAACGTCTACCGAGTAACTAACACATATGAACAACATTATGAGAATACACAGTTTTACAAATCTAATTTTATTAACTTGACGGGATATAGTTTTCTTGGTTATAGTGTAGCGAAAAGACAAATGACAAGAAGTCGAACCATACGTACTGTCAGAAGTTGCCGAACACATGGTAGAAACTGGACATGAAATAAAATAGTCTCAAACTAATAGGTTTGCTAATTATGGTACGTCTTCGGCTAAAAGAAAGCTAAGAGAGGCTATTGAAATTGATAGATTAGGAAATACGTTGAAAATGAGGAAAAGTGATAGAAATTTGAGTAGGAACAATTTATGCTTGATTGATAGATTGAAAGAGAGAGAGAGGGTGTTAAGCCGTAGTCAAAAAGAAGGTGACTCAATTTGTCTGCTCAGGGAGAGTTCTATTTTCACTCACATTCCTCCAAAATGTTAGGGTAAGTTCATCAACCAAACCAGACATGTAAGATAACGCAACCACAGTCTTGCCTTTTCTTGGAGGGTTGAACGTTAATGACCCTAGACTGAGAGGTTAGAACGAGTGATTTCGTGACTTGATTTTCATGCTTACAAGTTCATATCTCATCGTCTCAACTGGGCTTAGCTTAGTCTATATAAAAGGTAAGAAAAAGCCGGATAGTCTTCTTGGCCTAGTGTTAAGATTTGACCTTTACAAGAATGAAACCCAGCTCTGACGA